TACGACGACTTGCCAGAGAGCTGCAAGCCACCCTTTCCAGATCGCCACGTGGTACTGCTGTTGTACATCTACGAGTTGTTGGCTCATGATCTGATGTGCTCGGGCTTCCCATTTACATCACATCGAACGCGAGAATCGGTTTCACGTGCCAACCTTTCCGATGGAACCGAGAGGCTTTGATTGACTCCCGCAGGCGAAGCTTCAGCATATCTGAATATTCGAATGCCGTTGAAAGCCAGACCGAGGATGATCGACAACAATCTACCCAGATCCGAAGCGACGAACATATCTTTAATCATGAACATGGGTTTATCGTCTACTATCAGGCAAGACATCGCGCTGGAAATATTCGAAGGCGTCAAGGACAAGGAGGATGGACATAGTAAGTTGCACGATTCTAAATTATGTTGTCGGCATGAGGGTCAGGCTCCAGAATGCGAAAATACAGGCGAGCGGTGGCAGCATTACCTACGGCCACCTACCAGCACAGCAGGTTCCTGCACTTCCATGGTGAAGGATTCTCCCCAGTTGGTATGCTTACGTCGACGACTACCTGTGCGGAGCCAGCTGATTGGAGAGCACGAGTTTCACCGCTCCCTTCTCGCAGCAGGGACTGAATTTGGCCAAAGACAAGTGCCAGCTCATTGGCGTGCATCTCAGAGTTGCGGCAAACAGAGCAGCAGCTCCACCATGGCTTGTACCTGTTTGTCCCATTCGACCTTTTTGGGATGTGATTTCGCCCTTGCCCGCGAACATCCCGCAGGCACCGCGGTCTTGGATCCGAATCGCCTGAAGTGGATCACCGTGGAACCCGCGCTTACCTCAAGAGCTGGCTTCGTAGACTTAGCAGAAATGGTAAGGTTGGTTTGTCTTTAAATCATTTGCACGGGGATACTATAACCTGGGAGCGACTAATTCGTGAGTTGTGCCTTATCGGCAAGGCGTTCATTTCGACATGCAGGTCGCCTGAGCAGCGTAACCTCGAGCTCATTTTTCCGCGCGGCAGCGTGGCCGCACGACGCAGGGGAACATCCATGATGGTGGTGCGACCCCTATCTTGAAGACTCCGCCGGCTTGGGCCACAACACATCGGAGGCCACAAAGACGCGGCCAACGCTTTAGGCAACACCGTTTACAAGCCCATGCCGAAAGTAGCTATGCGATTGTGCGCGACGTCGAGGCCCGATGATTCGGTGAACGCCAGTCTCTGCATCCGGAGTACTTTTTTGGGGCTCCTGGACCTGACGGCGCACCACTCGCCGGACCGAGCGCCGGAGCCCTGCAGGGGGGATCACTGGGCATGGAGAGCAGCTGCCAGCATCTGAGGCATGCTTCTTTTTCAGGCGGTCGCAAACATGGATGAAGGGGGCGTGGATAAACGACGGGTCCCGTTTCCATGAAAAGTCGCGGATTTCCGCCGCCGAGCGAGGCGGCGCTGGCCGCATTGTGGGGCGCCAAATTCATGGATCGCTAATCCATGTTTGCGCGCCCCAAATTTTGGCGTTCAGGAGAACCATATGGTGAGCCGACGACGCGTGGCGCGTCGTCGGCCTGCCCGCGGAGACACCGAAGAGGCTGAGCAGCTTGACCTGGCGTTCCACGGCAATGCCGACGGCGCTGCGCGTGCGCTTGCTTCAATGGGGAAGGGCAGCGACGCTGGCCAGGAGGCAAGAAAGGCATCCTCGGCATATGAAAGAATGTCCATCGTATGCGCGTGGAAAGAATCATGCCGTCAACCCGAACAATAATCAGACAGTCGTGGCCGTGCTCTGCTGGGATCGTCAGCATCTCTGTGAACGATTTCTCGTCAGGATTAAGTCGCCACCAGTGGCAGGCCGAGTGCAAGACCGAGCCAGATGCTTGGGAGAAGTTCTCAAGGTAGCGGCGACGGTCAGCAGTGAGCTACCCTGCCGATTGGACGCGACCGATTCTGGATTGGCGGCCGTGGGCCTCCATTGATGTTAACCACGTGTTCTTGGTCCTGCCCTCTCTGGTCTCGGGGCCTCTGTCCCCGCGGAGGTCCAAAGGGAAAAGTGCAAGCGCGAATCTCATATTACGCGCGCGACGCTGTGAAAGGAGTACTACTTGTGTCAAAGGGGTGCGCCCGATTTCCGTATCGAGCGAACATGTATCTTGGCATTTCAGAATCGCATCTTTAGTCGTTGATTGCGTCGGGCACGGGTAAATGCAACTCGCGAACGCACATCATAACGGGGATCACTACTCATGCGCAGCGAGGGTGGATGAGGAGCATGGGGTAGGTATCTTGGCTCCGGATCGACAGTTTGTTCAGCATGTCTGTCCGTGGGGTCGCAGGTTTATGAAAGACACCGTCTCTCTCCAGGACTTTTGGTGGCGCCGAATATGAGAGAATCGCTGGGTTTGACCGTGCCCCTTTGGCCTCGTCGCCTCTCTCGCGCTCGTTGAATGTTTTAGATTCGCTTGCATCGCCCATCGCAATATTTTGTCGACTCAATCTTCGTAGGAGCCGCAAGCCGTCGGAGTTTTTCGGCGCCAACTACGCCTACTACCTGGCGCCCCCCCATCGCGGGTCAGGGCGATCGCCTGGGAGAGCGGCCAAGATTGCAACGCCAAGTACAAAGCAGGCGGCGTGGATGAGGTGCGTGGACCCCCTCGGCCTCGCAGATTCCGAGGTCATCTGTTCTACTTCGCGAGGGGGGCGGCGGATCTTCAAGGGCAAGCCAGGGCAACCCGCGTGCAGTATCGGAACGCGGTCGCAGCCAATCGTTTCTCGGCGCTCAGAATGATTTAGAAGCTCGTGCGGTTTCTCTGGCTCGTTTGGCTGCCATTTCGAACAAGAAGGGGTTTGCGCGTCCTCATGTTTACGATTAGCAGCTCTTAGTGGCGCCCGCTCTGCAGGTGACCAAAGTCAAGGATGCAGGTGGCAGCGAGACCGCGTTCGCCTCCTCCCCCTCCCCCTCCCCCTCCTCCCCCTCCTCCCCCTCCTCCTCCTCCTCCTCCTCCTCCTCCTCCTCCTCCTCCTCCTCCTCCCCTCCTCCAACTCCTCCTCCTCTTCTCCTCCTTCTCCTCCTCTCCTCCTTCTCCTCCTCCTCCTCCTTCTCCTCCTCCTCCTCCTCCTCCCCCTCCTCCTCAAGTCATGGATCCTGCACCAGGCCCTGTGCGACGGGGTCGCTCGTCAGGGCGTGCCGCGCGACTCGCGGTCGGCTCCCAAGGAGGGCACTTTAGCAAGGCGCGGGACGTTGCCGGCCAGCGGCGGCCTCTCGCACGAAGCCCCCCCAAGCGGCAAGAGCACTCCAGGAGAGAAAGCATGCCAGCGGGAGGACGAGGACGGCATGCAAGGCCAGCCGATCGGCATGCACGGCCGATCAGAGCGGATCCAAACGGATGCGGGCACGCGGGCATGCAGGAGGCAGCCGGTATGCAGGATCCGATAGGACGATCAGTATGCTCCGTCGAGGGGCTTTGAGCGATGCCTCCCTCGCCAGCTTCCAAAAGCGCGCCCTCCCTGGCACAGCTCTGGGGCTCGGAGCTCCGTGTCTTTCGCACCTGCCACCTCGCGCCTCCTCGCGGGCCGCCGCCGCCCCGCCCGTCGGGTGCCACCCGCGGGCGCGGCGCTCCTCTTCTCCCTTTCCTCCGCCCCCCTCTCCTTGATGGGCCCGTTTTCCACCACCACCACCAGAAGTTGGAGGGGGGAAGGTGGTGGAGGAGGAGGAGGAGGAGGAGGAGGAGGAGGAGGAGGAGGAGGAGGACCCCCTCCCCCTCCAACTGATGGTGGTGGTGGTGGAAAACAAGCCCACCACTCCTTCTTCCCTCCCTCACCTCGCGCCGCCGTGGCGCCTCCGCGCTGCTTCGCCCTCGGCTTGCAGCTCAGCCCCTCCAGCGCCGCCCTGGCGCTGCGCCCAGCCCCTGGCGCGGTCGCTGCCCGTACGCGTTGGGCACCGCACGGTCGACGTACCATGATTCTGCTGGTTGCAGTCCTCGGGCTCCTCCGCTGGTTCTACTTGCTCTTGACCGCTACTGCGCCCTGGCTGACCTCGTTGCCGTGGCTGGCCGCCCTGGCCCGCTCACCGCGGAAGCCTTCCGCTTCTGAGCGCCTGTCTCCGCCCCCCCCCGCGCGGCCGCCCCCCCTCTCCATATCTTGCACGCTGGTCAATTTGCCAGTCGGTGCACCCCGGTTAGCTCGACGCTGGTGCGGATCGCCTCCGCCCTACCGCCGACGAAACCAGTCCTGGAACGTGTCCTGGATATGGTGTCGCCACTTTAGAAGGCCTCCCAAGCACGCCTGCTAGACTCTTACATTGTTTTTGCCTTGATGCCTCAACGTCCCCGTTTTCTCACCCCTTCCCTCCCCTCCCCCCGTCGCCCTGAGCAACATCTTCAGGGTTCAGGAGGACTAAGTGCTGTTGGGACTGCAACCTCTTGACTCGCTCCTATTGTCCTTGAGGTGATCAGGTGCCCGTGGAGGGCCATGCCCTTTTTCTATACCCCAGGTGTGGCCCTTCCTTGGGCCAGACAAACACCCCAGCGGATCCGCTGGTTGGCACATTCTTAGTTTATCACAGAGGCACTGTGCATGTGCAGTTTTGTTACATTTAATCCCTGTTTCGCAGTCGTGCAAAGCGTCGAACTCCTTGGCTCGCACGTGGTCGTGTCTCATCTTGTCCATTTTCCTCCTCCTCCTCCTCCTCCTCCTCCTCCTCCTCCTCCTCTTCCCCCGTAGCCATTTTGGCTCAAGGTTTTGGGTTGGCTGTGCCGACGCATGGAGGCCGCTAGTCCGCGGACTGCTTTCGTGCATACTCGAGGCGTGGGCGCCTCGTTTATCGATCGCCTCCCCACTTCGCGCCCCGCACCTCCTCCCTGCGGCGACCGACCACACGCTGCGCAGAGGGGGCATTTCGAAGCGCAAGACTCATGGCGACGGCGCTGGCGCTGCTTCTGCCGCTGCTTCTGGTCCCAGGGGCGATAGCTCGCGGACACCACCCCCAAATGAAGAGGTCGACTTGGACGCCTTCGCCACCATGCCCTACGTCCAGACCCTCCAGTGCAAGATCGACAGCATGGAGAGCGCCATCAAGGAGTCCATCAACTCCACCGTCTCCTCGGCGGGATGCGACGCCACGGGCCCCATCACCGCCGCCTTGCAGGCCGTCCAGGCTGGGATCAATGGCTTGTCGGGCAAGATCGAGAAAGACATCAACCTCGCAGTCGGCCAGCGTATCGACGCCACGCGCAAGGAACTCCAGCAGCAGCTCGACATCTTCAACTCTCGGGTCGGCGAGCTGGAGTCCAGACACGACAAGACTGACGCCTCCATCGCAGCTATGGCCGTCCAGATCAGAGAGCTCCAGCAGGCGCTGGAGGTCGCGAGGAAGCAGCCAATGCATAACCAGTTCATCAGCCGCGACTTCGACAGAGAGACCGACACCACGGTCATCAAAGTTCACGCCGACGGCCTCGTCACGCTCGAGAAAGCTACGGAGGCCCTCACCACATGGATCACATATTGCAGCGTAAAAGAGTCAGACTTCAAAGTCCAAGGTAACCCCACCTCACGGTTCTTCACGGTCCAGTTCTCGGGCCCCCCTGGTGGGCCCGCCTCTAGGAGAGCCCAGAAAGTCCTCGACAGCCTGCGCGACCGCAACGGCAACTGGACCCGCATCCATGCCCCAGCTGTCGCAGGTCAAGGGCAGGTCGAGCTGCGCGTTGGCCCCGACAAGTCGCCCAAGCAGATCAAGATCGAGATCGCAGGCAAGCGCATCAGGCAGGCCCTCGAGCGCGACTTCCCGAACCACAGCTGGCGGGTCGACCGCATCAAGGGATGGGTCCTCGCTGGCTGGGCCCCCGTCATCTCCTTCTCCGTCCGGCCTGGTCGCGATGAACCTCCCGTGCTCTCCTGCCAGGACGCCGGCCCCCCCGCCCTCGGCATCGACCGCGCGCAGCTCATGACCTCCGCCTGTGCTGCTGTCGCCCCCGAGGCCGCGCCCCAGTTTTTGCTTTGACGAGATCGCGGCCTGCTTGAAGAGGCCCTCCTGCGGCCTCTCTCCGAGCCTGGTCGTCGGCACCTGGAATGCCCGTGCGCTCCTAGGCTACCATGGCCGAAGAGTCACCGAGAAGACCGCGCACCTCCAGACCCCCCCCCCATCGGCAAGATGATCCTGGGCATTCAAGAGGTGCGCCAGGACCACGCGCAGCTCCGCGCCTTCGTGAGGAAGATGAGCAGCACGCTGGACATGCACTCCTCCTTCGCTCCTGGCCACCGCGGCATGATCAGTGGGGGGGTCGCCACCGTCTTCCCTGCGGGCCTCCGCGCCGAGAGTGAAGCTCTCCTCCCTGGACGGGTCCTTCGCACCTCCTTCCGCATCAACAACCCGCAGCGGATCTTCTACATCATCCACAACTACGAGATCAGCAACGCCGCCATCAAACGCACTCCACACGCATCCTCAGTGACCAGCACCTCGCGAGGACAGACCCGAGCAAGGTGATCCTCTTCGTCATGGGGGACTTCAACTTCGCTGCCGTCGGGAAGCTCAAGCTCACGGAACCTGAATCCAGAGCCAACGCCGAGGCCACTGAATCGTCCAAGGCCTCGGCGCGCAAATGGCACGGCGCGCTGCAGCACCTGGTCGAGAGTGAGGGAACAGACACCACCCACTACTGCGCTGAGACGAAGTCCGGATCGACGATCGACCGTTGCTTTTGCTCCATCACGCCTACGCAGATGCTGCAGCTGTCAGTCAACTCCACCGCCTTTTCCCACCCCTGAGGGCCTCTCACGTCGCCACGTTAGTGACCGCGCCGCCCTCGTCGTCTCCTTCACCATGCGTGACGTCAAGCCAGCCAAGAACCAGCCAATCGCCCAGTGCAGTGTGCAGCCCCCCCATCTTCAAGAAGATCGGCGACAGCGTCTTCGAGGCGACTGGCGTGGGCCACCTGTCACCACCGTCCAAGCTCACCCTGACCACAGAGCTGCTGCGCGAGATCGCGAGGGAAGCCAGGGACTGCATGCTCGAGACCTCCACGAACCGCGGCGATGTTCAGCTCCAGATCGCCAAGTCTATCGCCCGAGCCGTGTGGCGCCAAGACCGCAGGCTCGCCGCCCGTTTATTCCGTGTTCACCAGACTGCCCAGGATCACCTGGCACTCATCGGCGAACAGGTCAAGCTAGTTTACCCTGTCAAGTTCGAGGAGTGGGCCAGCAACCTCTTCCGCCAGGACGCTGACCAGAGGCAAGCAGCCATCAGCCACGCCACTCTGCGCGGGCGTCTGCGCCCCGCGCAGGCCCGCGCGCAATCGCACGCTCTGCAGAGGAAGATCAAATTCTGGAATCCGATCAGCAAGAGGCTCGTCCTGGCAGGCGTCAAGACCAGCGTCGGCACCGTGATGGGGCCGAAAGACAGATTACAGAAGTTGGCGGAGCACTGGCAGCCAGTCTTCGAGGGCAGACAGATCGACCTGAACAAAGCCGCCGACTACCTCTCCCAGTTATCGCCCAAGATCGACGTCAACAACTTCAGCCCGCCCGACTACAAGACGCTCAAAAAGTTCACCTCCCGCTCATCCTCTACCGCACCTGGGATGGATGGGCTTCCGTGCATCGCCTGGGCCGCCCACGAGAAGTGCGCTGAGGCCCTCTGGGGCGTCATGTGCTACATGCTCAACGGCGGCATCCTCCCCGACGAACGCAATGCCGCGGCCCAGGCCTTCCCCCCCAAGGGTGACGAGCCCGTGGACTCGGAACGCAGCGGTTGGCACCGTGACCCCTCGAAAGTCCGTGTTCTGGGCCTCCGCAACACTTCCATGAAACCCATCAGCAGCACCATGGGCGCTGCGACAGCCACGGTAGCGGCCGAGGTGGTCCCAGCCTCACAGCGCGGGTTTATCCACCGCCGCATCTTCGGCTACAACGTCCTAGAGCTTGACGTCGAGAGCCGCATCGCGTCCGCCGACCCCAGCGCGATGGACGTGCTGCCCGTGCTCGCGTCGCTGGACATCGCCCAGGCGTTCCCCGGCGTCGCGCGCCAATTCGTCCACCTCGCGCCCAAGGCCATGGGCGCACCTGAAGCGACCCTCAACTTCTTCGACTCCATGTGCCACAACATGCTGGCCATGGCGGCCTGCGCAGGCCAGTACATCCCCTTGTTCTGCGCGCGCTCGGGCATCATCCAAGGGCGCGGATGGAGCGGCACGCTCTCCTGAACCTGCAAGTTTTCTCCTGAACCTCGAAATGGTGCTAGAGGCCCAAGGGCGCGGCCTCTGCCGTGCTTGTGCTGACGACCTGGGGCTCGTGCTCAAGGCGGTCGCCCACCTCGCCCACCTGGCCGATGTCATGATCCTAATGGATGTGCTCGCGGGCCTCGAGTTGAAGGCCCCGAAGTGCCGCGTCATCCCCCTCGCGGGTGAGGTCAACGCCGAACTCATCCTCAAGCTCCGCAGCGCGTTGATCGCCATCGTCCCGCGCTTCGAGGACTTCAATATCTGCGACCACCTCACCTGCCTCGGACTCCCACTCGGACCTGGGGCGACGGAGAAGCTGATCTTCGAGAAAGCCGCGAGCCAAGATGTTCAGTGCCGGTGGCGCCCCGTCCATGGGCTCAGCCGCTCTCTTCAATGGCCGTGCGATTCCTGTCCTCGGCTACCTCGCCCAGTTTGCGCTGCTGCCGCACGAGCACTTCAAGAACGAGAACTGGATCAACGCCTCGGTCTTGCGGTTCCCGAACGGTGCCTTCAGGATCAAAGACTGGCCCCACCTCAAAGCGCGGGGCGTCCACGCCCCGCGTTCGCTCCAGCTCGCGACGGTGGCCGCCATCGTCCGCTCCGCGACCGCGACGTTCAGCAAGTCCCCCGAGACCCGAGAGCGGCTCCACGTAGGCCTCGACGCGCACGGCATCCAGCAGACGTTGATGGGCGCCGCCCGTGGTGCGCTCCACCGCTCGCCCCCATGGTGGCAGATGCCGCCGTTCGTGGAGCTGCTGCACCAGGTGGCCGCGACCTCGACTGAGCACGCCTACTACCCGTCGGACCTGCTGCGACCCGCTGTTGCTGGCGCGCTGGAAGCCATCAGTGACGGTCGCCCTGGTCTCGCCCAACGAAAAGCGTATGCTGCTGCGCTTTCGGCTCGGGGTCCTGGCTCCATAGGCCCCTTCCCTGTCTCGAGGATCGCGGCCGAACTCCCGCATTATGCCGAGTTCTTCAACTTCAACCAGACGTGTTCTCCATGGTGCGGGCCACCATGAGCAAGCTCCCACCATCGTGGGCTGCTGCGTGGATGAGGACCCTCTCTTTTTCGTGGATGACATCGAGGCGCATCATCCACCCCATGGGCCAGAAGTCCTCCATCTTCGGCTGCCATCACTGTCAAGACTCACGACGACACTATCTTTCATGTGCGCCCTTGGCGCGTGTTGTGGGAAGAGCGTGCAGGGCTCCCCCCATGGTCGCCGAGATCGCGAAGCTCGGCCTCGCGGACATGTCCAACGAGTCCCTGGAGCTCATCGTGGTCGCATGCAACACGTACCACAACCTCAGAGGCGAAATGTTCGTCTCGGAGGAGGCCCTCCTCTCAGTGGCCAAAGCGTCGCTGCGGGCTTCGAGGACCATGAAGAAGCCGCCCCCCATCCAGCGGGGCCCTCGTCTTCGGCCACAAGATGCCGCTCGGGCTGGACGTGTCCAGCTTCATGCTCATGATCGCGGAGGTGCCCGTTCTCCTCCCCCTGCTGCGCCGCCTGTGAGCAGGTGAGTGCGACGTGCTGCGGGCGGCGCGCTGGGGCGCGCGGCCGAGGGCAGCCAGGAGCCTTCCCCCCTTTGCACGCTCGACTCCTCCTCCTCCTCCTCTTCGTCCTCCTCCTCCTCCTCCTCCTTCTCCTCCTCCCTCTTCTCCTCATCCTCTTTGGCATCCTCTTCTTCCGATCCTTCTTCGAGATGCGGCCCGTCCTAGGTCAACCCTGGCGCCCTCGTCGTAGCGTTGCCGTCCTCCTCCTTTTTTTCCTCCTCGTTTTCCTCCTCCTCCTCCTCCTCCTCCTCCTCCTCCTCCTCCTCATCATCATCATCATCATCATCATCATCAGCATCATCATCATCAGCATCATCATCATCATCATCATCATCATCATCATCATCCGTTTCCTCCTCCCCCTCCTGCTCACCCTCCTCCGCCTCCTCCTGCTTCTCCTCCTCCTCCTCCGCGTTCTCCTGCTCCTCCTCCGCCTTCTCCTGCTCTTCCTCCTCCTCGTTTCTTCTCCCTCTCCCCTCGACCTTGCCCTCCCTCTTCCCCGCTCCCCCCTCCCTCGTGCCCTCCTCCCCCCCCCCCCCCCACGCAGGCCCGCGGAGATTTTTGCCGGCCCGAGCCGCGAGCTCCACACAAGGCCCGCCGCCTCGCCTCGCGAAGTCTCCGCCTCGCTGCGATGCCTTGCGCTCGCCGTGCGCTGTGCGCCGCTGCGGCGGCGGCCGCGGCGTGCTGGGCCGCCGCCGCCTTCGTGATCCCTGGCGGCCTGGCCTCCCGCGCGGGAGCTCAGTATCGTTTAGCGTCGACTAAACGTAGGAGTGGCCCTTCGCCGGAGTGACCCTTGGTGCGGGTTCATCGGGGCCTTCCCGATCGTGCAGGGCGAAGCGGTACCAGCGGCTTGCGCGCCGAGGTTTGGCCACCTTGCGCCCCCCTGATCCGCGCACCAAAGGTCACTTTTACCCAGGGTCACTCTTGCGTGTAGCCGATTAACCGACCCCAATCCCCATCTTCATCCCCTTCGAGACCCCCACCAAATTACCGCCCCAGTTGGGGATACGCCCCTCGAAGCCCGAAGGGAACAGCCTATATATCCCAATCTACGGGGGGAAAATCGGCCAGTGGGGCCCAGGCCACGCCGCTGGGGATGGGGATCAGTTAAACGATGCTCAGGAGCCCTGCCCGCGGGTCGCGCCGGCGCCGCGCGGGAGCCCGAGGCCTCGGGCTTCGGCGCGGCCGCCGCGGTCGCGTTCATCGGCGCGCACGCTGGGCTCGCGGCGGCCGTCTACGGCCGCTCCGCCAGGAGCCGGTGCGAGCGGAGCGTCAGAGGAGGGAAGTGTACCGATGCCGTTGCTTTTCCTAGAGGGCCCTCGTCGTGACGGCTGGATTCTCTTCGAGGGTTTAGTCAGAACACGCCTTGGGAGATGTCCGGGGAGTAGCGGCACACTTTGCTACCCCCAAACGGGTATGGAGAGAAGGGCGACGAAGACAGACAGCAGTTCCTGCTCGTTTTAGGCAGCGGTCGCTGTCGATGCCGCCGTAAACATTATTGTCAACTTGGCACAAAAAAGGTCGCGTACCCAGCATCGGCCGCTAGTCGGTTTTGGGCAGCATTCGATGTCGGGAATCATTCCATCAGACAGGCCCAGGAATGGAATAAGTCGCTTCAGAGTGTCCCGGAACGTCCTGAGAGCGTTCTGGAACGCTTTGGAACGGCCGTGGCACCCGATACATCCTCCAGAGCCTCCAGATCTCACATATTTTCGATTCATCCCGATCCAATCTTACCCCGTTTCTGGCTTCGTTTTTACATGTCTCTGTCCGTACCCATGTTGGGCATGCCAGCAAGGAGGGCCGAGGGCAAGTACTCCGAGTCCGCGGTCGACGCCAAGCTCTTCGAGCAGGTGTGCTCGGCAGCGAATCGTGGGAGCCTCGTGTGTCCTCGCAGGTCCGTCGCTGGAACGCATTCACGTGCGACGTGCGCTAGCATCTGGCAGTCGATGAGAAAGCGTCAGTGTAGAGTCGATGAGTGTCGATGTTGCGTCGATATTTAGCGTCGATTAGCGTCGACCAGCGTCGGCTAGCGTAGATTCGCAAGAGCCAGCACGACAGCATGGGAGGCTCCCATGAGTTGCCACCGACGGTCATGATGATGATGACGATGATGATGATGATGATGATGATGATGATGATGAGTCTGATTCCGACACTGATGTTGTAATATGCTGTGGGTGGTGGGGGTGGGCATGTTGGTGTTTATGATAATGTTGACGATGCACATCTTGATGACGCTGCTGCTGATGATCATGGTGATGGTAATGGTAATGGTGATCATGATGTTGACGATGAGGGTTTGATGATGGTGATGAAGTGGATGATGATGTTGATGCTGATGATGATGCTGATGCTGATGCTGATGATACGGATGATGATGCTGATGACTATGATGATGATGATGATGATGATGATGATGATGATGATGATGCTGATGCTGTTGATGATGATGATGACGATGGCGACGATGCTGGTGGTGGCGATGACGGTGATGATTTCGATGATTTCGATGATGATGATGCTGATGATGATGATGCTGATGATGCTGATGATGCTGATGATGATGCTGATGATGCTGATGCTGATGCTGATGCTGCTGCTGATGCTGATGCTGCTGCTGATGTTGCTGTTGATGATGATGATGATGATGATGATGATGATGGTGGTGGTGATGATGATGATGCTGATGATGATGATGATGATGATGATGCTGATGATGCTGGTGATGATGCTGATGATGCTGATGCTGATGCTGCTGCTGCTGATGCTGCTGCTGCTGCTGATGTTGCTGTTGATGATGATGGTGGTGGTGATGATGGTGATGATGATGATGATGATGATGATGATGATGATGATGATGATGATGATGCTGATTGTGTCATTGCTGCTGGTACTGCTGCTGACACTGCTGCTGATGCTGATGATGATGGTGTCGTCGAAGGTGTACCTGGACTACACCACCGAGTACCTCAAGGGCCCCATGTACGCGCACAGGGAGAAGGCGCAGGGCGCCCGCCCCGACTATCCCGGCAACCCGCTCTACAAGAACGGCACCCGGGCAGTGTTGAGGGGGGGGTCACAACTTGGAGTCGGCTAGGGGTCTGAGGTGGCCACGGGCAGGTTCGAGGTGCTGGCCGGCGGCGAGCGAGGAGGGGGAAGTGCAAAGGAGAAGACCCTCTCGTAAGGCGGCTGGGCCTCTCAGAAGCCCTCCGACCTCCTGAGATGTTTTGGGTGTCATCGGGGGAGGCTCAGAACACTTTTCCGAAGGCTGGGGGACTTCCGAGCCTGCTGAGGAGGCCCGCCCCTTCCTGCTTCCCCCTGGGGCTCGCCGCCGAGCTGTTTTCGGGAAGACATGTTTTTAATATTTCCTCCTCCGCTGGCCGTGTTCGGGCTCCTGGACTGTCAGGGACCCCGGGAGGGGTCCAGGGTACGATTTTGAGGGGGTTTGCCTTCATCCCCCCCTTTTGAATTTCTTGGGGCCCAAGCAGCTCAGACCCCCTGGCCGCCTCCAAGTCACCATTAGTGGAGTCACCAGCTCGTCCTGGAAGCCGAGGTTCCCGGATCGAAGCTCGAGGAGGTTTTTGGACGTTTGGGGTCTTTTTGGAGGGCTCTCTGTAGTGCTCTTGGGGGCTCACTTCCTCGAGGAAGCGGCGTTTTCTCAAGGAAGTGGCGACTCCCCAGGCAAGATGACGAGCAACGTCACGGGCAACCTGAAAACGTTCAGCTCCAATGAGCTCATGTACCTGTCCATGCTGTTCTTCGGCATCGGCCTGTACGGCAACCTTCAGGACACAAGTTTCCGTCCCCTTCGCGCCGGCGCCGTCTGGGAATACCGAGGGAGTGGTGGCCAATTCCCAGACTGCCTCGGCGCGAATCGTGACGTTACCAGGGGGAGTAGAGCGGGGGGACAGGACCGGCAACGGGAGTTACCGCCAGTGATGATCTCAAAACTTGCTCCAGTTCCTGTACTTCGACCCTCAGTTCCCCAGGGTCGACTCTGGCCTCAACTTCAACGTGTCCTACATCGTGGAGTCCCTCTTCCTGCCGATGTCCTTCTTCTTCCACATCGCGTGCTACATCCAGCGGAAGAACGGCAAGTGAGCGGGGCTGGGCCGCACTGGGAGCACCTTTGGTTTTTGCTATATTTTTGAAGCTTCGAGGTTGTAGGCAAAGTTGGGCCCAAGAGGCGCTCTTGAGGGCTCCGGGAGCGAATTTTGGAGTCCCTGGAGGGGCCCAAAAGGGGCGGAAATGGAGCCAAATTGAGCCCCGAGAGCGCAGTCGGAACGGTATGAAATTCGAGCTCGTCTTGGACGCCGTTTGGCAGCCGTCTTGGGCCAGAAAATGGTCAATGCTACAGCCGGGCGGCGGAATGGCGGAGGCTTCAGGGGGGATTAAACTGGGCGCTAAAGCCTTGTGAGAAGCTGTCAAATTTCCGTCTGACGCGCCCCTGATCCTGGTCCTCCCTCCTCCTCCTCCTCCTTCTCCTCCTCCTCCTCCTTGATTCGAGACGCTTCGCGTTCACCGCCCGCCCATTCCAGTTCTCGCCGGACGAGGCGAAGATGGTTCCAATACGGCTTAGCATGTTCCGAAATGGTAAGAGGCTCTCCCGCAGGCGTGTTTTGAATAGATTTTTTCCTGCGCGTACTTGGCTCAGGCTGAGGGATGAGGGATGTGGGGTTCCCTAGGATGAGGGATGAGTGTTCGAAGACGGGCCGGTGTTGGTCCCGATGTTCGACCGAGTGTTGGTCCGATGGTTGTCTCGATTGTTGTTTCGATGGCTGTCCCGATGGACGCCCCGATGGTTGAGTCGTAAGCGGGGTAGCTATATTTGTAGTGAGATGGGTATGTGCATCGTGAGATCTATAGAGATGGATGGGTCTATTGAGGGACAGCTGGATGGATTGGCAGACAATGAGATCAATAGTTATGAAGGTGTATGGACGGATGCGTAGTTGCGTACACGGCCAGTTAGGACTCTGGGGGGTGAGCCCCGCGCAGCGAGAGAAGGAATCGTGCGAGGGCCCGCGACTTGATCGACGTTTCCCAGGAGCGATTCCGAGGCGGAAAGACAGCTGAAGACGGCCCGAAAGCGGGCCGAAAGGCGCCCACAAGGGCTGAACTGTGCCCCGAACAGAGTCCAAATGGGGGCCCACAAGGGCCGGAGGCGGCCCGAGGGAGCCCAGGATGGCCCAAGCGACAGCACCTCCGCGTTGGGCGGCAGCCCCGTCCGTCTTGCAGTGGGCACTGGACCCGTTCTGGGCTGTTTTGGGGCTCGTTGTGGGGCCCCGAATCATCTAAAATGGATCCCGGAGGGCGCCCAAGAACGGCGTCCAAATTAGTATGATGGAGCATCTTCCATACGAGCCCGAAAGTCAAGTGTAAGAGGCGTCGTGGACACCCCTGGGGAAGCAAGCTCACATCGTCAAAACACGTAGTATTTGCCATATTTTTGGACTGTCCAGATTTTCGGCGAGAATGAGCCGAGGAGACGCGCTCTTGAGGGCCCGAGGAGTCGATTTTCAAGGCCCAGAAGGGACTCCGACGGGCCGAAATGGAGCCGGCGTGCGTCCCGAATGCACCTCCAGAACGATCTGAAAATCGAGCTCCTCTAAGCCGTCTTAGAGCCGTCTTCGGGACCGAAAAGGTGATTGGACGCATCCGGGCGGCGGAATGGCGGGGGCCTCTGGGGGTGGGAGAAGGGGGGGGGCTAAAGCCATGTAAGGAGTTCCCATAGTTAAATCCCACACGCCCCTTAGCCTTGTGGGCGGGCAGATTCCTCTCGCTTCGCAGGGTGCACGTCCAGATCACGTACAGTCCAGTCGTTGCGGGGCCTCTTGGGAGCTTCTTTGTGGCCTCTTGGAGGTGTCTTGGGGGCTTCTTGGAGCCTCTTCTGCACTGGGCTTCTTTGGGGCCTCTTGGGGCCTCTTGGGTGCGTCATGGGCCGTCTTTGCGGCGTGTGGCCCATTCAGAAGCTGGTCTGAGGGCCTCTCGCGGCCGTTTTGGGGCCTCTCGCGGCCGCAATCGCCGCTGTGAAAAAGTGTTCAAATGTGGAAGGTGTGGGCGTTGGTTGGCGTGACCTGCTCGGCTGCCGCGCGTGCGTGCCGCTCCGTCCTACAATTCCCAGGGCTTCTGGGCGGCCTCATGGGGGGCTCTTGGGAGCCTCTTGACAGCCTCGTGGAGGCTTCTTGGAGCGTCTTTGGGGCCGCTTTGGGGCCTCTTGGGGCTTCTTGTTGACGTCTTGCGCCGGCTCGGGGTGCTCTTTTGTTGCGCCGTCTGGCCCCTTCGGAGGCCATCTTGGAGACCTCTCGCGGGCCGTCTTGGGGCCCCTTGGACCGTCTTGGGGGCCTTTTTTGGCCGTCTCGGGGCCCTCGTGAGCAATCCTGGGGCCCCTTTAGGGGCCTCTTTGGCCGTCTTGAGGTCTTCTTGGAGGCTGCTTGGGCCGTCATGGTCTTCTGAGAGCCGAAAAAAGCGAGAACGCTAAAATCTTTCAAAAACCAACGGAAATCAATGATTTGGGCTCCTGGAGGCGCTCTTGCGAGTCCTCTTGGGGCCCCCTTGAGCCGTCTTGGGGGCCTCACGGGCCCTCTTGGGACCATCCAGGGTCGTCTTGGGGCCGTCTTGGGCCGTTTTGGGGCCATCTTGGGTCATCTCGAGGCCTTCTTGAAGTCCCAAGAGGCCCCAGCGGCCCAAATCGTCGATTTCCTATGGTTAGAGCCCTCTTGGAAGCCTCTTCGGGGCTTCTTGTGGCCTCTCGGAGGCGTTGAGGGCCGCCCTGGGGAGTCCTTGCGCCGTCTGGCTCCTTCGGAGGCCGTCTGGCATCTCTCGGCCGCCTTGGGGCTCTCTTGGGGTCTTCTTGGGCCGTCTTGGGGTCATCTTTGGCCGCCTGGGAGGTGTGTTTTGGCAATTTTGGGGCTTTCTTTGGCTGTCTGGAGGCCCCCTTGGGGATCTCGTGGGCCGCCTTGGGGCCATGGTTGCTCCTGGAGGATGGGCGTGGAGAGGGGCAACAATCTCAGACGCCGACGTGCGCGAATTTTCCAGCTGGATGACGTGATCGCCTCGAGGGCACCTCGAGGTGCGAAACTCGAACCTCGAAGTTCGCCCCGGGGTCCTTCTCGTCGCCACGGTTGGGCGCGGCTCAGAAAACTGATGCGCTTGGACCCCACAGCAGCGAATCCCCCCCTCGGCATCCGTTATCCGAGTTTGCACGCACGTCGCTGGACCGCTGGCCACGGCACGGTCATCCGATGTTCTCGACGACGACGATGACGAGGAGAAGGGGGAGGAGGACGACGACGACGAGGAGGTGGCGGAGGAGGATTGTCTCGGCTGTCGTTTAAGGCACGGGTAAAGTGTTACCGTTTCGTGCCCGAACAAAAGGGAACATGACCTGTTCAACTACATGGCAATGTGAATCTCTCTACTGATGTTCGTACTCTCCCCATTGCACTGTGCTTCTTTTCTCCCGCACACTCTGCAATGTTTGCAACGTGCTACATGGCGTGATACAACTGCATTGTTGGCAATGCTCAACAAGAGTGTCAACATGATGCTACCATTGTGACATACACAACTACCAGTAGAGCATCTGCACATATGTCCGCGAGGTCCTCCAGCCCCGCGAAATGTGCACGGCGAGACGTCCTTTCAGAGGCTCCCAGGCTCACGATAGCCACCCTGGCATGTTATCCCAGCGGGGACGGGATTCTACCACAAGTGGGCCCCCGTCTTCCGTGCGCCCAGACAGGCAGCGGCTGTGCTTGGCAACGTGCCAGAATTCACCCGAATGCAACTCGATCGTGGCCGTTGCAATCACGACGCACCGGGTGCCCGGCGACCGCACACAGACGTCCGTACCAGTTAACGAATCTGGCGGGCTGTTGGCTGTCGACGTTTGTCCACTACCTAGTGCGCCCTGCCTCTTGCTGCCTACTAGCCTAGTGGTCCCCAGCGCGGCCTCGCAGATAAGGATGTGCCTGCTCTCACCGTCCGCCGTTGACAAGCTATCCTCTCTGGTGGGTCTCGTGTACGATAGTGCGATCAGCGGATCTGGACTGAAGTAACTTCGAGCTCCATACCGGCCTCCTGTTCTAACTTTGAGATCTGTGGTAATACCCTGAGTCTTTGACAGCTGCAGGCCTTTGAACAGAAGGGTAATATGTTCACCGCTGAAGGCACGCTGCATCCACTCTGCCTCCGAAAGGCTGCAATGGCGCACACGTAATTCAAAGCATGCTGTGCCATGTCTAGCAAGAAGCTTCCGCAGGAAGGCTGTGGGAGGTATTGCACTTCTGAATAGCCCTCTCGGGAATGCGTGCCTATGGGGAAAGCTCGCAGCCGGAGGCTTCCCGAGCCTCCGCAGGACGGCACTTCTTATGCTTGCCTGCCCTCCTGCCTCTGCCACCCGGCGCCTTGCCGCAGCCGGCCTCCGCAGTGCCGCCCTTCGGCGGGCCGAGGCACGACGGGGAAGAGGAAGAGGAGGAGGAGGAGGAGGAGGAGGAGGAGGAGGAGGAGGAGGAGGAGGAGGAGGAGGAGGAGGAGGAGGAGGAGGAGGAGGAGGGAGGAGGAGGAGGAGGAGGAGGAGGAGGAGGAGGAGGAGGAGGAGGAGGAGGAGGAGGAGGAGGAGGAGGAGGAGGACGACGACAACCGGAGACGGATCAGAGACAGGAGGAAAAAGAGCAGGAGTAGGATTCCGAAGATTGCCAGCAGGAGAACAACATCAGCGACGCCAGGATGAGAGGGTGGAGGAGGAGGATGGCCGTAGACGGAGAGGGGCGATAAGTGAGGAGGAAAAGGATGATCATGATGACGAGGAGGGGTGGGGTAATACCTCCGTCCCCTCCGCTTGGAATTTACTTTCGTCAGCGTTTGGCTCACGTCATGGCGTCGCGGTCCCTGGCAATAAGGAACGCCAAACAGAAAGAAACTTGTATAACAAATGCAGTCCAGCGCCACAGGGGCCGACCTGCTCTCCAGGAGATCGCTGTGCAGCGGGGCTGGACAGTCACTTGGCCTACATGGAAACCACAGGCTAGGGAATCACATAATTTCCACACGCCAGCCAAATCATACGGTTTGCAAGCGCTCCTTTGTTCAATCCTGCC